AGCAAAATGAAAAAAGAATCCGAAAATACGAAGATAGTGTAAGGAGCCTCTGGGACAGCTTCAAGCGTACAAACATCAGAATAATTGGGGTGCCAGAAGATGAGAGACAGCAAGATATTGAAAACCTATTTGAAGAAATAATGGCAGAAAACTTCCCCCACCTGGTGAAAGAAATGGACTTACAGGTCCAAGAAGCGCAGAGAACCCCAAACAAAAGGAATCCAAAGAGGACCACACCAAGACACATCATAATTAAAATGCCAAGAGCAAAAGACAAAGAGAGAATCTTAAAAGCAGCAAGAGAAAGAGACTCAATTACCTACAAGGGAATACCCATACGACTGTCAGCTGATTTCTCAACAGAAACTTTGCAGGCCAGAAGGGAATGGCAAGAAATATTCAAAGTGATGAATACCAAGAACCTACAACCAAGATTACTTTATCCAGCAAAGCTATCATTCAGAATTGAAGGTCAGATAAAGAGCTTCACAGATAAGGAAAAGCTAAAGGAGTTCATCACCACTAAACCAGTATTATACGAAATGCTGAAAGGTATCCTTTAAGAAGAGGAAGAAGAAAAAGGTAAAGATACAAATTGTGAACAACAAACATGCATCTATCAACAAGTGAATCTAAGAACCAAGTGAATAAATAATCTGATGTACAGAATGAACTGGTGATTATAATGAATCAGGGACATAGAAAGGGAATGGACTGACTATTCTTGGGGGGGAAAGGGGAATGGGAGATGCGGGAAGAAACTGGACAAAAATCGTGCACCTAGGGATGAGGACAGTGGGTGGTTTCTCTCACATTGATGTTTCTAACTCTCTATCCCTCTCCCTTCCTCTCTGTAAAAAATCAATAAAAAATTTTTTTAAAAAAAGAATATGGCATTTTTTTTCTTTTTTTTCTTTCTTTTGTTTTCTTGAGGTTGATTAAATCTTCTAAAATTGTGTGATAGTTGCACAACTCCATGAATATACAAAAAACAACAACATTGAGTTGTACACTTTAAAAGGGTGAATTGTATGATGAGTTATATCTCAATAAAGCTGTTATATTTAAAAAGAAAGAAACTGTCCATAGCTTTTCATTGCCCTGAGGCTGAAGGCCAAGCTCCTTTGTTTACACTCAGAGCTCCAGGCATGGTTCCATTCCAGCAGGTTTGCACTGGCAGTTCCCTCGGCCAGGAAAGCTCTTCCCCAGAATGATATCCACAGGGCTCACTCTTATATCTTCCTCAAATGTCATCTGTTCAGTGAGGTCTTCTCTAGCCACCCTGTTTTTACACGTTTTATTTATTGTCTGTTTTCCAACTACTGGTGTCCCAAAAGGAGGGCAATGTGAGTGGTCCCCCTTGGGTACAGGCAATAAGTGATGTACTGTCTGTAGAGAACTTGAAAATAATAAAAATGACCAAAAGCTTTTATTATACCATGCACCGATACAGTATCAGTGATAAAATGATCCTCCCACCCCCAGGAAAAAAATCTTTTGTTGTTCTATTTACTAAACAGTTACTATAGAATTTTAACAATCCTTATAAGCTTCAAATTAGATTTTTTATTACTCTATTCTTTAGCAAACATTGTATTTGTATTCATTTTCTATCATTGCACAATAAATGACTACACACATTTATTATCTCATAGTTTCTGTGGATCAGTTCAGTCATGGCTTAGCTGGGGCCCTCTGCTCCAGAATCACCAGTTTGCAATCCAGGTATCAGCCAAGGCTGTGGTCTCATCAGAGGCTCGACTAAAGAAAGATTTGCTTCTAATAACTTGAGGGATTTGGTCTTCATATTCCTACTGGCTGTCCATGCGGTTCCTTAGCTCCTTGAGGTCATCTACAGTTCCTTGCTGTGTGGTCCTCTCCATAGGTCCTCTCACAATGTAGTAAATTCTTTCAAAGCCAGCAAGGAGATTTTCTCTCTCTCTCCAGTCCACTAACACAGGGTTTTACATAATGTAGTGTAATCATGAACCTCCTTTGCCATATTCTAGTGGTTAGAACAAGCCACAGGTTCTGCTCACACTTGAGGGGAGGGGATTATACAGGCCATGAACATGGGGGCTTCCCAACATCTATTTGCCACAATATTCTACAGGGAAACAAATACAGATATACCTTGTTTTTATTTATTTTTGTTTTGTTTTGCACTTCGCTTTATTGCACTTCACAGATGTTATGTTTTTTACAAATTGAAGGCAAGACCCTCCATCAGAAAAAAGATAACAACTTCCTTTATACTTGCTTTATTGCAGTGGTCTGGAACCAAATCCAGCTTATCTCCTAGGTTGGCCTGTATAGAGAACTCCCAGAGTTAACCTCTATTTTTTTAAAAAATATGTTTTTATTGATTTCAGAGAAGAAGGGAGGAGAGAGATGGAAACATCAATGATGAGAGATAATCACTGATCCGCTGCCTCCTGCATACCCCTTATTGGGGATCGATCCTGCAACCCAGGCATGTATCCTTGACCGGAATTGAACCCAGGACCCCTCAGTCCATAGGTAGATGCAGTAACCACTAAGCCAAACCAGCTAGGGCAGTGGTCAGCAAACTCATTAGTCAACAGAGCCAAATATCAACAGTACAACGATTGAAATTTCTTTTGAGAGCCACATTTTTTAAACTTAAACTATATAGATATAAAGCCACCAACACAAAAGAATTACAATTCTTAAATTGATGACAAAAATACCTGTAGGATTTGCAGCTGGTTGGAAAAATACAGGTAACTTTATGCTTCGAGTAGGTACATTTGTCACCCACGCGCGATTTGCGGATGCAACTAGCACTAACCACTGCACAATGAGACTGCTGACTGACTGGCTCACTCAACTCATGCATGAATTGTGCGCGCCTCCCCCGCGCTACGTATCCCTGCGTATCCCCTCGCCCAACCGACACCCCCCACTTCTTCTAACGCCACTTCTTCAAAGTAGACTCACCCAGGCCGAAAACCGACTTCTGCGCATGGGCCACGAAGTTTCAATCGCACTGTACGTGCGCACCCCGAACGTGGTATTTTGTGGAAGAGCCACACTCAAGGGGCCAAAGAGCCGCATGTGGCTCGTGAGCCGAGGTTTGCCAACCACTGTGCTAGGGTAACCTCTAACATCTAAAGATTCAGCTTTATGGTCCACTTTGAAAATAAGTTCATAACAATTTAGAATCATTTGGGTTTGTATCAGGCACAGTTTGAGTCTCTAATCTCTGTGATTCTACATATTTTTGCATTTAAATAACAGATTAGAATGATAGGACAAATGAGAATGATAGCACTATGTTCCTAAAGATGAAGAAACTCTTCTGCCATTCTATTCTTTTAGAGTTTTTGTGTTTAAATTTTAAAACAGTGAATCAGGGTATGAACTGCAAGGTGTAATATTTTTGTTAAATGCAAATTTTTATTCATACTTGACATATCCTACTGAATTTGAGTAATATGTCTAAAAATGGAAATCTATTCATTTTCAATTGTTAACTTTAAAATGAAATAACAAATAAAATAATTATTGAAAATAATTTTCTATTAGAGAGGAGGAGGTGTAAAAAAATTAGTTCCACCACTGTTCCCAACATTATAAAGGGAGTTCCAACAAGGCACAAGTTTTGCTTTGTTTGCTGTTGTATCTTCTCAAGCATTTACAACAGTACCTGACTCACAGTGGTTACTCAATGAATGTACAGAAGGAAGGCATAGATGAATAGATGAATGAATGAATGAATGAATGAATATGCCTGTGCCACCTCATCAGCCTCACCTCTTACTACAGTCTTCTCAGTCTTCTAGTTCAAGCCTGGGCTTAGTGGGATAGGGGAAGGGGTGGAGTGCTCAGGTGCTGGGGAGATCTTTGGGCTCACATTTGGAATCTTGATCTGGAGTCCCAGGACCTCACTGCAAGATTAAAGAAGATGGCTGGCATAAAACTTTAAGGTAAACACCATTTTACCCAATTAAGGCGCTTCACATATCAGGGGTGGATGAAAATAGGTTTATAGTTGTAAGTACAGGAAACAGAGTTTATTCCTGTATTATTTATTTTGCCCCACCCCTGTATTAATATGTCAGGAGGGAGGCTGACTAGTGGGAGTGGCCCTGGCTCCTATAACATACTGTTGTCTTTCTTATCTTAGGATTTTTTGCTTTGCTGTTCTAATTCCTGGAATGTTTGTCCATTATCCCTTTTGTCAGTGTTCATTTTCAAAACCACCTCCTCGTGGGCCCCCCTCCATTACCCAGCTCAATAGGTCTCTTTTATTTTCCTCTACTCCTATGCCTGTCCCACTCCATCCTCCTTTTGAGATTCTCTTCCAGGAAGTCTCTCTGGCCCCCACGCTGGGTCAGGCACTTCCTCTGGGCTTTCCTCCTTTAGGGCCTGATTACTCTGCCTGTGCTTCCCTATCGCTGCCCCTATCCCAGTCTGGTGAATAATTTATCTACTTCTCAGGACTGGGAACTGTAGAGGCAGAGCCCGAGGCTGGTGTTCATTCGTAAGTCCATCCCCTCCTCCGGAGAAGCCCTTTCTCACACTGAATGGGGGATGTGTCTGGGTTCCCATCACCCACCACCCCAGCTCATGATCACTTGGCCTGTGCTTCCCCGTCACATCCCTAGTCACTCTGCCCTGTGGCTGCTCCTATCTAGAGACTAGAGACGCAGGGACTAGTCTGACGTGGTCAGTGCTGCATTACCAAGTTCCGACTAGGCGCTTAGGGAACGTTGAATTTAGAAAAAAATAAATTCCTCTTCCTCAAAGGAAGGTTGAATTGAGGCGGGCAAAAAGCCAGCTTTTCAGGAGGAGCGTGTCTGCGCCCTCTGCTTCCACTTGGAGCTGGGCGAAGGTACTGGGTCTTCATCAACCAGCCCCAGGGCAAGGGTAGCAGGAAGCCGGGCTCAGCGGGCATGCGCCTACCCGCAAGCCAGGCTTAACCCGGGGCGGAGCCAACCTTAGCCCGGGCCCTTTCCCCAGCGCCAGGGGGCGGGCCCAGGTGCGCCGAGAGAGGACGGCCGCGCAGGTGCCTGCTCCCTGCGCCTGCGCCAGGTGCTCCCCGCCCCCTCCCAGGCCACCTTCGACGTCTCCTTCTAGGCGGCCGCCATTGGCTCCAGCCTCCACCGAGCCATTTGCTGTGTGGTGGGGTTCTGAACGGTGGGCAGTCGCTGTGTGTCACCGGGGGCCAAAGGGCGAGTGAGGAGCGTTCTCCCGGGTGTGGGCGTAGGAGGCAGAGAAAGGCGCTTTCTTCCGGAGACTTCGGCGCCAGTGCCTGCGCCAGCGCCAGCGCGACCCCTCTACGAGCGTCCGCACCTGCCCGCGAGGCGCTCCAGTGCGCGTGCGCGGCAAGGGGCTTCTCGCACCTGATCGCGAGACCCCAACGGCCAGCGGCTGGAGGCTTCGCCTGCGCGCGGCCGGTGGAGCTAGTCATGGCGCAGCTGTGTGGGCCGAGGCGGTGCCCGGCGCTCCTCGCCCTGCTGGCATCGTTGCTCCTCTTCGGGGCCGAAGCGGCCGACGGAGAACGTGACGTCCACGGTGAGTGCCCGGGCGGGTCTCCAGGGAGGAGTGGATGGCCGAGAGGCCGAAGGCGGGACGTTAGGGGCAGGATGTGGAGGGTAAGTTGGGATCCGAGGGATCCTGGACAAGGTCTGAGTGGGGAGAATGACGGGGGAGGAAATGGGGCGACTTGGTGAAGCTCACAGCGGGTGTGGTGGAGCCAGCTCTGGGAGAGGGAGCCTTTGAAGGGGTTGGCAGCTCTCGGGAGTGCGGCCGGGCGGAGGAGTCCGCGTTGAGAGAGTTTCCAGTGGGTGAGGGACGAGACCAGCGTGTCGCCGGGGAGTGGCGCGGCCCCTCCCGTGGCAGGAAGGGGTGAGAGGCCCCCCAGAAGGCCAGCCGCGTCTTGGCCGCACGAAGTCCCAAGGCTCGGGAAAGCCTTGGGCGGCCAGGCCTGTGAGGAAGGGGGTTGGGTAGGTGACCTGCTGGCAGTTTGCTTCTGGGAAGCCGGCTCCACCCCCACCTCTTTAGAGCTTGGACGTGAGCCTCCTGAGAAACCTTTCTGGTTCAGCGGCAGTGGAGCGCCTCCAGGAAGGAAGGTGATTCTCAGAGAAATCAACAGGAAGAAGAAGAAAAGCAAAAGTGTTGGAGGGGAGAAATTTTGCCAGATGCCAGGGTATAAGAAGAGTATTGGCGCCTTGGCCGGGTGGCTCGGTTGGTTGAAGCATCATCCCGGACACCAAAGGTTGCGGGTTCGATTCCCGGTCAGGGCACGTACCTAGATTGCGGGTTTGGTTCCCCTCCCCCACCACCCTACTCCCCTCGGGCTCGTGCGGGAGACAGCCGATGAAACATCGATGTTTCTCTTTCTTCCTCTCCCTCCTTCTCTACAATCAATAAAAAAACATATCCTCAGGTGAGAATTTAAAAAAAGAATAATATTGGTTTTGAGGAGCTGGGCCTAGATTTATTGGATTGGTCCTTTAAGAGGTTCGGATTTAAACCTCTCCACTCTTAAGGAAGTTTAGCTTGAAAGGTCTTTTTGAACAGGTGTTAGAACCTTAACTCTTAAGACAAGCACAAGTGGGCTTTGAAAATAACTGTTGAAAGAATTCATTGATTCAGCAAAACTTTTTGAGGCCCTGCTATGTGTCAGGGACAGTGCTGTGACTCAGACAAGCCAGGTCCCTACACTCACAGAGCTTATAATCTGGTGGGAGAGACAGACAGTGAGTAAACATTTAAATAAAGAGCACTCATCACAATATTAAATTACTAAGAAGTAAATGAACAGGGCGAAGTACACAAATGAGGTGATGTAAGATGACGGGGGCCACTTTTCCCCCCAATAAAATCACCTAAAATTTTATTCTCTATTATGAACAAACGACAGGTTCCAAATTTCATTTTTTCCCTTCAAAAAGTACACTATTCAGATTCCATGTGTATGTTTTGAGGCAATTTGCTTCTCTTGCCATGCTTTCTCTATGACTTGCCCTGTGACCCAGATATATAAATATCTATGTTCCTGTGCTTCCTCTCCTAGTCTTTTCTATCCTTCAGCAAGACTGTGTTCCTAGAATTGTGCCCCCCTTCCAGCCCCAACCCCTCTCAGGTGGGTGCCTGGCATGTGAACAAAGAAGCCAGCCAGCCTGCAGGACCCCTTGTAAGATCCATATAAAAATATGCCTGATAGGGGTCACTTTAGTTCGGTAGTCAGGGGAGATCTCTCTGAGGAGGGCGACATCTGAGCTCTAAGATGAAAAGTGAGGAGGTGGCAGCCACACAAAGACCTTAGGGGTGAGTGTCCAGTTGGAAGTAATGGAGTACAAAGGCCTTGAGGCTGGAACACACAGGGTGGTTTTGAAGGAAAAGACCAGGAAAGCTAGCCAGCCAGTGTGTGTGGCTGGAGCAGAAAGGGAGGAAGGGAGAATTGGAGTAGGATGTGAGGTGAGAGAAACAGGCAGGAGCCAGTGGCTTTATAGGCATAGGCCAGCCTATTAGGTGAAAAGTGAGAAAGCCGATGGGTGTGCAACAAGTCATCATCTGCAGTGACTTCTGAAAACTTAATTTCTCTTTGCCTGAGGCAGAGAGGAAAAAAAATGAGTTATTGGGGATGTCAAGGGCTCAGCTATAGAGGAATAAGAATTAGGAATGTATTATTCTTTTTTTTTTAATGTATTTCTTTATTGATTTCAGAGAGGAAGGAAGAAGGAGAGAGAGAGATAGAAACATCAGTGATGAGAGAGAATCATTGATTGGCTGCCTCCTGCATACCCCACACTGGGGATCGAGCCCGCAACTCAGGCATGTACCCTTGGCCAGAACCGAACCTGGGACCCTTCAGTCCGCAGGCTGACGCCCTATCCACCGGGCCAAGCCGACTAGGGCTGGAATGCATTATTCTTATTCTTTGTTCATTATTCTTGCAGTCTGAACCAGGATTTGTCAGCCCTTCTGGACTTATGTAGATGAAGTAATTGTGTTAAGGATGTATAGTACCTTCCAGTTACCTGGCCTGGACTTTGTCAAAACTGAGTTTGGGGCTAACATCTATTGCTTACTCTGCATCTGTATTTCAGGGGTGGGGAACCTTTTTATGCCAAGGGCCATTTGGATATTTATAACATCATTCGAGGGCCATACAAAATTATCAGCTTACAAATTAGCCTGCTATATTTGGTCAAACATTTAATTCACCCCTAATGCCTTGGCAGGGCCAGACCAAATGATTTCACTGGCCTGACTTCTCCATGTGTTATTTAATCTTTGAGAAAACCTGGTGTGGGGAAGTTACAGATCTTATCTAAGGTCACAAAATAGTAATTGACAAAGCCAGGTCTGGCTGCAGTGGCCTCCCTGGCTGCTGCAGATGACTGGACCTACTGACCTTTCAGAAGTACTCCTGTTTGGCTGGGTCAACTAATGCCCTTGCTTATCTGAAGTTGTTTGTTTGAAAGCTTTCTACCTTTTTTTTCCCTCCTTCTTCTTTCCTGATTGCTTTGTTTTTCCCTGAGTGAGGTGTTTCTCCAGCCACAAGCAGCTGCATAGGCTTTGTCAGGTAAGTAGGGTGGAGCTGCATAGGCTCTGTCAGATAAAAGTGTGTAGTGAACAAATGTTTAGGGGCTGATTATACTAGTAGATCAAGGAATTTAATCTGTGAAGACATGAGGGGGTTGAGGAGTCATGGAAGGGTCGTAGGGCCAATGGATTGCTGAAATTGAGGTTTTGGAGGGAATGAACTAGAAAGCTAGGACATGGTGGGCAGTGAATGAGATGCATGAAACTGAAGTTCTGAAGAGGCTGCAGTTATTTTTATTTTTTAAAATATATATTTGTATTGATTTCAGAGAGGAAGGGAGAGGGAGAGAGAGATTGAAACATCAATGATGAGAGAGAATCATTGATTGGCTGCCTCCTGCATATTTTCTCTTCTGGGGATTGAATCTGAAACCTGGGTGTGTGTCCTTGATGGGAATTGAACCCGGGACCCTTCAGTCCCCAGGCTGACACTCTGTCCACTAAGCCAAACCGGCTAAGGCAAGACTGCAGTTATTAAGACAAGGCCTAGGCATGACCATGGAAGAGTCTGGGGGAGGATAGAATCATTGGAGGAGAGGAGGTCTTTATAGAGGTCAGGATAATTCAAGGATCACTGGCCCGGACATGGAAATCACCAAGGATTATGATGGGAAGACGGGGAGTGGCAGTGAGCCTGGAGCTAAAATCATGGAGAAGTGAGGTGTAATGGCCTGGGTCAGGAGATGATGCACAAGGTGGATACTATCTGCTCTGAGGATAAGATTCTTTGCTGGGGGACTAGGGAGAGGATGGAGGTAGAATGTCTGGAAGTAGCACCTAGGAGCAAGGTGACCTACCCACTTAGAAGGGCATAAGAGAAAGCATATCTTCAGGGGAGAACAGATTAGGTTAGAGATAAGAAAGTCAAAGTGATTGAGAAAAGGAGAGGTTTTACTTAAGATAGGTCGTAAATAGAGAGGCCCCCAAGAGTTGGGGAAAGGGAAATGATAACAAGACAGGATGATGGGTAATTTAGGAGGCTGGGACTGATGTGATAAGCATGTGAGAGGAGAATCATGGAAAGCACAAAGAAAGTATAAATTTTTAATAGGAAAATTTATATTTTGGCTTTCCCTGAAAATATGAAGATCTGGTGCCACCAGGCCTATGTTCCCACACATCACCATGGGCTGGGGCCCATCCCTCCTTTTGGACAGGCTCCAGCCGTGGGCAAACTACGGCCCGTTTGAAATGAATAAAACTAAAAAAAAAAAAGACCGTACCCTTTTATGTAATGATGTTTACTTTGAATTTATATTAGTTCACACAAACACTCCATCCATGCTTTTGTTCCGGCCCTCCGGTCCAGTTTAAGAACCCATTGTGGCCCTCGAGTCAAAAAGTTTGCCCACCCCTGGGCTAGCCGCTAGTTACTACTCTCAGTGTGTGTGTGTGTTCACTTGGCTTACCCTTTTTATCTGTAAACATTGGAGCTGTGACTTCCACCTTAAGAATATGCTTCATTTAGTAAATGGAGGTGGCTAAAACAACTCTATAAATTGTACAATGAGTGTATGTATGTGTGTTATTGATGTTGGGGAGTGGAAAACCCCTTATTAGGTGACAACAAATGTGCGTAATTTTTTTCTCTCTTCCCCAGGTATTTGGAGGGCCCCCAAATAGGTAATTTTGATCAATACAAGGACAGTAATATATTCCTCTGCAGAGTAGAACCTCAAAAATTCCTTTAGGGAGTAGTCAGTTATATTGTATATTGGCATAGTAACTGTTGCCAATACCTTTATCCCGGCCTGGGATTTATTTTTGGGACTTAAGCTGAGGACAAATGCAGCATTTGAGAGCCTCTATTGCACTTTCACGTGATTTTCAGTTTCCATCAAACTCTTGGGTTAATTACAGTTTCCCCAGAATTTTTACTAAAAGGGTGAACTTTAGCAAATCTCTAATAAGCGTGTTATTAGTCAGTACATTTTTCTCTTCTCATCCCCCTGGATGGTCAAAGACACAGTGATAGATAGGAGCTAATGTGTAGTTGGTGTTGGTGATCAGCTGGGGATTCTCCAAAATAGCATCTTCTGGTATTCTTGTCTGCCGTAGAAGAGGCTCTTGTTCTGCTTGCAGGCAAGAAAGTGGTTCCGGGACAGTTTGAAATAATTATTCAGCACATTTATTGAGCACATACCAAGCTTTATTTTTAGGCCCTGGAAACAGAGCACTGAAAAAAAAGACACACAGTCCATGGTAATTAAATTGTGATGAGATGAAGACAATACAATAAAGAAATGAACAATGAATATAGATCTGGGGATGAGTACTTTGAAGAAAAGTAAGGCAAGATTTGGTGTTTACTGAAAACATGGGCTTTGAAGCTCAAATGGCAACAATCCCCAAAGAACATTCAGGGCTTTGCTTTTAGGTCCACTGAGGGAGAATGGACCTTTCTGTGGAAAAAGATACTTTCCATCAGAAACATTCTTTTGTCCTGGTCAGCATTTGAAAGTGCAACCTGTGATAGAAAAAGCCAGCTTCTCTTTCACTGCTACTGCCCCACCTGTTTCTCATTTTACCTATCCCCAGAGCCATTTGCTTGCTCAAGCTTGTCTTCTTGGTAGTTGGCCAGACAGCCAAGCCTCTGTTTGCCATGTCCTGAGACTGACAAGGAAGGCCAAATAAGGGATATAGTAGCCTGTGATTCATGTGAGGGGGAGAGAACTCTGAAGAAGTCACACCAAAATGACTTCATTAACCCTAGGAGGCCTTGGTGGCCTACTGGTCATATGACTAATTCATAGATGAGTCTAGAATCATTAGCTTATGGATTATGGATATCTTTGTATGATCCTGGTCACAAATGTCATTTCAGGTGTTGTTTCTGATAAGATCTTTTTGAAAACTCCCTGTGATGGAATGTGAGGCCCAGGAACTTTCGAAGAAACAGTTTTAGAAATAAGGGTTGCCCTGGCTGGGTAGCTCAGTTGGTTAGAGGGTCAGGGCACATACAAGATTCAACTAATGAATGCATAAATAAGTGGAACAACAAATCTCTCTCAAATCAATAAAAAGAAATAAGGGTAGCCCTAACCGGTTTGGCTTAGTGGATAGAGCATCAGCCTGTGGACTCAAGGGTCCCAGGTCAAGGGCATGTACCTTAGTTTCGGGCACATCCCTAGTAGGGAGTGTGCAGGAGGCAGCTGATCAATGTTTCTCTCTCATCGATATTTCTAACTCTCTATCCCTCTCCCTGCCTCTGTAAAAAGTCAAGAAAATATATTTTTTAAAAAAAAGAAATAAGGGTAAACATTTTTAATTGTTGTTTTTCAGATGTTTGAGATGAATTTCATCAATGGGGTCCTGGGTCCCTGTCTTTAGAAGCCCCTTAATCTGAAGTCCCTAAGTTTACATGTGATATTTTGTCCATGTGTTTCCCAGTGTCTAAGGCATGTTCGGAGGATGGAGGAGATATTATATATTACAATAGTTTATGACCTTTCAAAGGGCCACTCTGTATAAATAAGTATACAGTATGTGTGGTATTGGAATTTCCTGGGGTGACTAGGAAAAACATGTGAGGGCTCCTTGGGGTGGGTGGAGAGTGTGATAGTAAAAAACAGGTTGAGAAACACTGCTCTAGGAAGAGGGTCCATTAGGTTTTATCAGTTTCTGAAAATGATCCATTTTTCAAACAAGGTCAAGATCCCCTGAATGTGAACTAACAGTCTCATGAAAGACTTTGAAACTGTTTGTTTCCAAGTTGTTCAGATGGCCTACTGTATTTCTAGTTATGAATTTAGTAACGGTATAATTTATACTCCTGTTTGGGTGATAAATATGAAATGCCGGTGGGCAGGAGTGCTGGTTTGTGTTGTGTTGGTAGTTTATGAAATGTAAACTTTATCTAAATATTTTATATCTTAAAATGCCAAGATTTTATATCTAAAACGTTAAGATTTTATGAGCCTTATAATTGAAGTTGGGTTTGTCCATGTAAATGTTCTTTCCTCATAAATACCTACGGGTTATTTTAAAGTTTCTGAATTATCCTATTAATGACAACTTCCAGACACCTGGACCTAGAGGAGATGGGTAGTTAGTAGTTTTCCATTCTGTAAACAGAAGTACTCAAGTATGTAGAACCTATCTAGCTACCAAAATAGGTGAATTAAGGCTGATTATAAAATAAATGTCAACTTTGGAATTTGGCATGGTAGAATTAAAACAGCTTGCTTACCTCCCTGGCATTGAGTACCTCTTCACTCATACAATGAGATTCTCTCAATCTTCAGAGGAAAGATATTTGCAGTCCAAATGGGTAACCAAGGCATATTTTTTCTTATTTTCTCCAGTCCCACCCTTGGGCTTTCTGTCCCTGAACTCTTGATCTCATGATAATCTCATGGTGCAGGAGTTCGATCTGTGTGATAGTTTGCCATTACCTTACTTCAGGTGAAGATAAGGAGTTTTGTCACTTCAGTCATGGCAAATGGTACATAGCAGAAAATCCAAGGGAAGGAGTGATTGAACTGGTTTGACCAACTCCTTAATCTGAGGTTGTACTTTTGATTTTCCATATTCCCTATATCCTGTCAGTCACCACATTCAGTTGGACTTTCTAGTGAAGTGTGTCATCCTTTTCTTTATTTTCGTTCCCACTGTCTCTATATTAGTCTGGTCTTCATAAAAGTATAATATCTACTGTTTATTTAAAGCTTTGTGCTAAATGTTTTAAGCGCTTGTAATGTATCATAAACTATTATAATCTTCACAACAATCTTATGATATTAACCTGTGTGTGTTAAAGACAACCCTCCCATTTGAACTGTTTTCAAGAAATGCTTCAGAGCCTGGCTGGCGTGGTTGAGCATCGACCCATTAACCAAGAGGTCACTGGTTTGATTCCCCATCAGAGCATATGCTTGGATTGCAGGTTTGATTCCCAGTATGGGGTGTACAGGAGGCAGCTGATCCATGTTTCTCTCTATCCCTTTCCCTTCCTCTCTCTATAAAATCAATAAAAACATATTAAAAAAAAAAGATGCATCAGAGCAAGCCTGCAGAATTTAGCTCAGTGGGGCCTATTAGTGAATTCAAGTTACAGTGAGCAAATGCCCTTTCCCAGATACGACATTGTCAAGATACTCTCAAGGTTAATGGTGCATTCCTCAGCAGGAAACATAGGGGGACATTTTGCTAACAAACTTGCCAAATAACACTTTTATACTAACTAGATCCAGAACAGGTATAAATCACACACAGAGGCCTTCACATCAACTTGGGCTGAGTTTTATTTATAATGTCCTCAAGATTGTTCTCTTGCTAACATTCTTAGCCCTTAACGTGAAAAGATTTTAAAGTGAAAACTATCCTGTTTACTACAGAATACTTTTGACACCAGATGTGTGGGTTTTTCTACATCAAGCAGTTCTCAAGTTCTCAGACACTGATGGGGTGTCCTATGGTTTAACTCAATTCTTTTTTTAATAACTCAATTTTGATAGTACCCAGAGTTAGCACAGACTCCACAAGTTAAGGGCTCAGTCACACAAAATGCCCCTCCTCCCTAGATGCCACTTAAAAATCCCAGGTTGTCATATGTACTTCTGACCAACCTGCTATAAATGGAGGGTTCCTTTTATATACCTTTGGGTTCAGTAGTTCAATAATTTGCTAGTAGAACACTCACTGGATTCTGGAAAACAACATTTGCCGAATTATTATAAAGGACACAGATGAATAGCCAGGTGGAGACATAGGTCGGTCTGGAAAATCCCCAGCACAGAAGTTTCTGTCCTGGGGTGTGGAGTGAGCCAGCCACTCTCCCGTCATGTGGATGTGTTCACTAACTAACCCAGAAGCTCTCCTAAACTCAGTTCCCTGGAGTTTGGGAGGGTGGAGCTGAACGTTCTAGACCAGCCGTGGGCAAACTACGGCCTCATTTGAAATGAATAAAACTAAGAAAAAAAAAGACCGTACCCTTTTATGTAATGATGTTTACTTTGAATTTATATTAGTTCACACAAACACTCCATCCATGCTTTTGTTCCGGCCCTCCGGTCCAGTTTAAGAACCCATTGTGGCCCTCGAGTCAAAAAGTTTGCCCACCCCTGTTCTAGACCTTTAATCTTGCCTTGGTCTTTCTGATGCACAGCCCCATTTTGAAGCTCTCCAGCCTCCCTCCCCCCATCATCTCATTAGCTTACAAAAAGTAATTTTATCCCCATCATCTCATTAGCATACAAAAAGTAATTTTATCACTCCAGAGATTCCCAGGGTCTTAGACACTCTTGTGTCAGGAACCTGGGTCACAGACCAAATATTAGAACAAAAGATGCTCCTAACACTCGGGAAATTTTAAGGGTTTTAGGTGGGGGGTGGGGAGGGGAACAGGGGATCAAAGACCAAATATATTTTTTCTTGTATCACAGAAAGCACTGCCTAATCTTCCTAAAACCTCCTAAGATTCTTTGATTTAGATCAGTGGTTCCCAAACTTATTTGGCCTACCGCCCCCTTTCCAGAAAAAATATTACTCAGCCCCTGGAAATTAATTTTTTTTTAATTTTAATAGCAGTTACTCATCGCCCCCAAATGCACCTGTGGCCATCACCGCCCCCCTGGATCGCTGCAGCGCCCACCGGGGGGCGGTAGCGCCCACTTTGGGAATCACTGATTTAGATACTCTAGGTCTTTAAAATCTGCATGATTTTTTAAGTAGGTGGGCCTAAATCAATGACTATGGGGCTTGGTGAATTAAGAAATATGTGAGTTATACATTTTCCAGTTTTATTATTAGGCTTATACATTTTTGTTCCCATGTTATGAATGAAGAAATACTAGCAGGTTAGGAAAATGCCCCTGGGTAACTTCAGCAGGTAAAAGGGAGCCAGGTATTCCCCCCTACTGACTCTAATCTGTCCTACACACTTTTGCTAAATGACTCTTCCTTATTGTGTCACTCCCCTATACCAGAGTCTTTAGTCATTTCCTTGTATGGCTTATAAGCCCTTTGAATTAGGCTGTGATTATAATATTTTACCTTGTATGATTCCTTTTTTCTTATCTTTTCTACCCAAGGGAGTCTTGTGGCTGTAATTGAATTATAAACCCCTGGAGGGCAAGGACCACATTCCTAGTTAGTGCCTTCAGTGTATAGGATGGCTTGGAGGATTTACCTTGGATGGTTCCAGTTTATACTGTTACAGAAAAACCGTAGAAGAACCAAGCAACACTTAGAGAGATGGAGTTACATTTATTACGCGCGGGCCCAGAGGAAAATGTCTCTCAAATTCTGGGTCCTTCACACATGAAGTTTCTCATATTTATACGATCTTACCCTCTTTGTCTCCCCAATATGGGGTTTTTCCGGTTCCCTTTGCAAGTTCTTAAAGGGCCCTATGTGCTGG